TTTTCGATTTGGAAGAAGGGCACAGGAAGTAAAATTTCAGTTTAAGGTCCATCAATACCGTCATGAGTATAGACTACGTTCTAGACAACGTGAAAGAAGTGTACGTTCGGCCCAGTTTTCTGTCGTTTGGTCCATTTCTAAAGTAGTAGCTAGGTGTAAATTGGGGCATTTTTGTGTAGTTGGGTGTAGTTTGGGGTAGTCTGTTGTAGTTGGAGCAGTTTGGTGTAAGTTGATATAATTTGGAGTAACTGGTGTAGATCAGTGAAGTTTGGTGTAGTTGATGTAGTTTGGTGTAAGTTGATGTGGTTGGTGTAGATAGGTGTGGCTGATGTAGCTTGATGTTCCTGGCGTTGTTGGTATGGCTGGTGTAGATTGGTGCAGAGCCTTATGAATGTCTAAAACTATTAAAGGTTAAATTGATTGTCAACTGATTAAATAGCGTTTATAAGAGGAGTAGTCAGAGGAAAAAAAGGGAAGACGGAATTATGAGAAATAATATGCGTGTTTCATCTGATTTTCAGTGTTGATATACTGTCTGATGAAATGAGTGGAATACTGGAAAGTGTCTGTGACGTGCAGGTAAGCCATGCTCTCCTACAACGAATTAATTATGAAAATCAATCAGTTGTGCAGAATGTTTTTGATATAAATCTATTTTCACTCTTAAGGGTTTCAAGAATTCCATAATTTAGGCTCATTTTACGCTGTGCATCAACAATAAAATGTTAACGCGTGTACCTCAACTCAAACTGAATCAAAAGGCCGATAATCTAGATGTAAAACATATGTGGAAGATAAAAAAAATCTGCTTATTAATGCATAAACATCTATTTGTTTTCAAATTCAGGATAGTTTGGGCATCCCACCTGTATTGAGCGAGAGCTCAAGGTAAGTCCATTTGGTAGACAATTATTTATTCCGTAAGTGAAACTTACCGGGTGTAATAATGTACATCAATTACAAAAATATCAGAATGAAAAGCATGATATCAAAGAAAGAGAAATCAGGTTAATATAGATCAAGAGTTTAATTGTGGTTTTTCTTCTCTTTCATCTTTCATGTTGTTTTCTTTCAGAGACAGGGAGATGATGAAAGAAGTCAACTCACGGACTATAAGAATAAGAGAATGGATACTAGATCAGGTGGGTAAGGAAACTGCATGACTTGGTCTTAGGTCCACAAACTTCAAACCTCAAACCCTGGCTGGTAATTATCAATTAGAGAAACAAACAATGATGAGAACAACGTAGTTACAACTGAAATCTCCAATCAGTCCCTAGTTCCTAACACTGCACAAGGTCACCCTCAAGAGGCTAACCAAATAAAGTTCTGTGACAGTCAAGTGATTCTTAGGGACGGACCATTACTTCTCTGGAGGGTGGTATGAGAAATGTTCTTCTGCAAACATTTTTTTCCAACATCATCTTCGTGCAAACATTTTTTTTTTCCATTTCTTTTTCAGTGTTCTTTTTATTTGGGCTAAACGTTGCCATTGCCTTACTGAAATATTTTACGAATGTGTAATGTATGTCAAGAACTACAGCTGCTTGAACCATTTTGTCTATCGTTTTCTAAATTTTATTCGTTTGTGTCGTTCATGGAATTAATTGACTTCTGAAATATGTACTAAGTTGCAATGATAAATATAACCAAGATCGAAGAATATTATTTTTTACATACAGTTTTGAGGAAAATACCTGATATATGAGGTTTTGTAGTAGGACAAAATGTTGACAAGTAACGTTGAGGTTTCATTGCGACAATAAGTTCCCATTTTTTCAAGAAATCTTCAGACAGTCATTTTCCGATTTGTCATTTGCTTAATACAGAGTGACCACATTTTAGTGCCCAAATTGTGTTAATTTTTATACTAATGCTTCAAGTTGTTATGTTATCTTTTTTTAATTTCAGTTTTGGTTATAATATTTTTTAATATCTTACCTGACTTCTCTGCAAACATTTTTTTTACCTTATCACGTTTGCAAACAATTTATTTTGTCTTTTCAGACCTTGCAAACAATTTTTCCAATATTTCTTATACCTCCCCTTCCAGAAAAATAATTGTCCGTCCCTTACCACACCATATTTTGAGCTCTAGGAGAGTACTCTGCGTCGGTGGGAGAGTATAACAAGGTAATTTAGTAGTATCGACTGAGTTTAAACTCATTACGGCGGCCAATTTACGTTATTAACTCAGTTGATAATACTAAATTACTCAGTCTGGAGCAGTCTGGTGTAATTTGGTGTAGTTGGTGCATTTTAGTGTGGTTGATGTAGTTTGGTGCTCTTGCTGTTGTTAATGTAGTTCGGTGTAATTTGGTCTAGTTTAGTATAGTTGGTGCAGTAGGATATAGTTTGGTGCAATTGGTGTGCTTGGCATACGTCGATGTGGTTTGGTGCAGTTTGGTGTACTTTGGTGTAGCCTTGTGTAGTCTGGAGCAGTTTGGCACAGTTTGGTATAATCATGATAGCGGAGCTCGCGGAGCGGAGCCCCATAGTTATACAAAATAGTAGTAACCCATCAAGCCGAGAAAATTTGGATGTACGACCCTACGACCGTACAACCGACCGTACAAGGTGCTACTTTTAGCATGCACGGCTTACTGTACCACGGGCACTATCTTATAATCAGTCCTCTACACGGACACGGAGAAGTTGCGAATGAAAGTCCATTAATATTACCACGCACTTTATCCATAGTAGGAGCTTTAGTTTTGTTGAAGAGACGTGCGGGAAAAAAAAATGCGAGCTCCGCTTTTAGGCTTGCCTAAATCTATATATTATTTGGTGCAGTAGGTGTGGGCTGTTGTTGCTGCTGTAGTTTGGTGTAGATGGTGTAGTTGACGTGAGTTTGTGCAATTCTGTACAGTTGGCGTAACTGTTTGTAGTTGGCTTACTTTTGTGCAGTTTGAGTAAGTTGGTGTAGTTTATTATTTCGTTGGAGCAATTTAGTGCAGTTTGATGAAGTTTTGTGTAGTTAGTGTGCTTTGGGGAAGTTGGTGTTGCTGGTGTGCTTTGTTATAGTTTGGTGTGGTTGGTGTAGTTTCGTGAAGGTGGTGTAGTTTTTTGTATTTTAATCAATCAAGTATGAAAATACGAAACCATGAATTAACAAGCAGAAATATGCGTGATCACTGTTTTACCCTATTCTTACCGTAATAAGATCAAATCTTTAACTACGTTCATGAAGTCCTCGATATAAAATCACTCTCCAGGTAAACGCCAAGAATTAACCCATCCTGTATGCACAAATAAAGCGCAAAACATTTTGGTTTAAGTTATTCACGCTGTCCTCAATTGTTATGACTGCTGCACAGTCATTAAATGTGGGATTATAACGATCACCTTCAGAACGAATGAAAATATTATCATCACAAACGTTCAGTACTTGCTAGCCTAGTATGGGTTTTCTTTTGACGACTAATTAAAGCTGTAATGTCTTTGTATAAGATTTCTTTCTTTTATTTCACAGGCAACTGAAGGATAAAAAAAGGAACCGAAGTAATTTGATATGTTTTAGTTTTCTGTAATGGGTTACTATAAGGATTAATAGTAAAAATAAATTTGAGCTGTATATTTTAAATTATTTTAAAGGATAGGCTCTTTCAAATTTTATTTTCTGTCAATGAAAAGAATTTTACCCATATCTTGAGCTATGACAGTGAAAACATCTCATTAAGATGGAATTCTTTACAATCGTTAAATGTTCAATAAAAAACCACTGTTTACCTACATGCTTCATCTTTGTAATATGTCAGAATATGCAACATACAAAACGTTCAATTGCGATTATCTTATAGCTTTGAGGTGCTAAAAGAAATGGAAACTCAAGAAGGTCATCGCCTTTAAATATTCATAAAAGTATGTGGTACCCGAACGAACCTCTAGTTGCCATTGATTCATTAGTTCCTCTTCTTTGCGAGCTAAGCCCAGAAAATAGGCCATTTTACAGTTGTGTACTTAGTTGCCAAGCCTTTGATTTGGAGTGAGGCTGAAAGAAACTTCGTTGTGATAGAGACCGTTTTCTAGTTAACACGATATCAAAGTAATGTACATTTGAAAAGCAGCAACGTCGAATTTTCGTTTGAATAAAAGCGATCGTTTCTAAAGAAATACTCGTTGCTGCAGTAATATTTTCAACATTTTTGTGATGAAATACCGCCGACGGTCGAGCAAACATGCAATGCCTCTGCTCACAAGTGAAATAACGAACTCCATCGAAGAATCCATCGTTCCCCCGTGGATGTGGATGGTCTAACTCGATTCCTCTCCACTCACCGCCACTTGGGTCGCTTAGATAACCGATAAACCCGACGGCACCCAATATCCAAAAACATGCACTCTGTGGCCGATGGAAAGTTGATTTTCACCTCTCTCAATTAGGCCGGTCTCAGGAGCTTTGTCGTCGAGTGCTGTCGGTTTTGATTCGAAGTTCGTCTTCTGACTCTGATTTGTCGTCTCGACGACTGTTTGGACCGATTTTGATGTCCACATCCCATTGTCGGCTGAAAGAAACAATGGCCACTGTCGTCGCTTGTTTAGTGTAGCATGAGAGAACGACTGCGCCTCAATAATCTGTTCTTGTGTTCTAATGAAAAAGGGAACGTTGCTTATAGCAACATAATAAGTCGATTGCCATGATCAGTCATGGATGATCACTGAAAGAGCAACAGCAAGGTTAACTAATGTAAATGGCAGCCATAAAGC